GTTGCCACGGGTCTGTTAGTTTGCAAGGTTCTATTCGTTCCCATGGCTTTGTCGTATTGTATAGTTCGGTTCTTTCCCAAAGTTTTGTCAGTTTTGAAGGTTTGGTTCGTTCCCACTGTCCTGGTGGTTTGCAGGGTCCACTTCGTTCCAACCGTTCTGTCAGTTGGCACGGCCCACTTCGTTCCCACTGTTCTGTGACTTTGCAAGGTCCACTTTCTTCCCATAATTCGTTTTGTTGACATGTCTCATCTAGGTCCCATGGCTCTACTACATCCCACTCTTCATCGTCATACGATTCTTTTTGGTTTGGACACTCTTCGTTACAATGGCCGTGTCCGTGTCCGTGTCCGTGTATGTTCGTCCAACGATGAGGGTGATCTGAGTTATGTATTTTATTGTAATGTTGACGTAAAGCACACTTTCCGTTTGCTCTACACCCTTGGTGTCGGCTATAGGAACATGACTCAGATTCAAATGATTCTGTGTTCCACGATGATCGTGTATGTAAATGTTTCTGGTATGTGGTATATCCTTTATCGGAACGCTTCTTAAAATTAATCTTGACTTAGTATTGCATTTTGCTAATGGACGTTTTCTGTACCCTGGCATGGACGAAATATTTCAAAATTAAATTAAACCATGACTTTTATTTAAGTTTTTGATCACTCATAATTTTTCACGGTTTAATTTTAAAATTTAGGTATATTTTTTAGTTTATTTATTCTGACATTTTTACATTTCCATTGTCTGTTTACATTTGATAATTTTATCTTTGACATATACAGTCATACAGAATCATAATGCACAGAATAATCTAAAGCTATTGTGAAGTTTGAGGTTGTATATGTGTTTGTATCCGTGTTGATAATTCTTATTGATTCTTGCGGTTTATCGAATTATAGAAATAATTTCATGTATTTATAAGCGAGGGAATAAGAACTCACTAGGTCATACTAAATACTAAACTTTTTGCAACGAATGACATTTTCCAGTGTTGCCAATACAAAAACATTACACGTGATTATGTAACATCCGCTATGGCGCTGGCATTGTCACATCTGTTTCCTTTAGCACTGTGCGTCAGGCGCGGTGTGGTGTGTTCACGGTGTGTTGAGTAGTTTCGATCGGATTTAAAACATGTAAGTAAAGAAAACTATTATTTTACTACACTTCTATAGTTTAGCTAGAGTTTCTCTTTCAGAATTTCTTTGGAAAATACCTCTCACAGACAATACTGGACAATAATTCCGTGGTGTTTCCCTTACGTAACGTTAATGAAATTATGTTTGCACGTGACCTTGCCCCATATCTTATTTTGATATTCTAAATTTTATTAATAAAGTCATGGAAATTACCAGCATTTGTCGATTCAGTACAAAATGAGTGTTAATTTGCCAATCTCGTAGGCTGAAACCGACGTTTGGCCGGTTCTAAGCGGTATTGATTAAAAAAAAATAGGCACTGCAATCTATGCTTACGTATGAATTTTGACATTTTATCGTGATTTTTTTAAGTAATTTATTTATAAATCGGGTTTTAATAACTAATTAGCTTTGTAGTAAAACATACGAAAATCTTAATTTCGTTACCTAACCTTCATTTGTTCGCTGTCAGCAGTGACAATGGCATTGATTTTCAGTGTTTCGTAATTCTAGTCATTACGTCTATCACAGAATCGAATATTTATAATATTTTTTTGATTCCTTTTCATGTCTAGGGCATTGGTCTTTTAAGGGTCTGCCATTTCCTGTCTGCTTTTTTTTATTAAATTATGCACTTTGCACTTTGTTAATAATTTTACATATTATTATAATCTACTTACCTATCTCAAAACCTTAGTTATCTACAAATGATATATTTATATCTATTAAAAAAGTTTCAACTAACTCTCCTATTGGTTGATCCTGTAATTCCTAACTAAACTAAAAAAAAGGAAATAATAAATTCTAATGACCAGGACTGCAGCAGAAAAATAAAAAAAACAATCAACATTTATTATCTATAGTTACCTATTTTTTTAAATAATTATACACATCTTTGAATGAAATTATGACCATAAAATTAGTTTGAACTGATGTATCTGAAAATATGAATGATATTTCAGTTAAAATATTACCTGGAGGTCAATCCTCTTTGCAGCATGATAGGTATTGATCGACCTAGTTTCAAGACAACTGTAGCAACTTAGTATATTGATTGTATAACTTGGTCTTATAGGCAAACTTATAGTTATTCCAGCGTGTATTAAGCCTGCCTGGCTGGCTAAGCAGGTCTTGTGTTTTGTTGATAGATTAAAGTCCAATTCTGATTTTTGTTTTAATAACTTGGAGTTTTGATATTGTGCTGATGTTAGGAGATAAGTTTGCTCATTAACAAAAGAAATTCCTAAGACCCATTCTCAGAAGGTTTGTCATACCAATGGTATATAATGCAAGCCTATTTCTTATTAACATCAGTAAAATTATAGCAATTAATTTAATTGAGTACAAAGCTGGTGAAAGTGTTGTAATGTCTGTTTTCACGAACCTGTCTTAGGTTTTAAGGAATCCCTAACCTAATATAGGTGACAACTAACAACATTATGGGGATTACCAACATATAAGTTAAATAAAGTGTCTTAAAGTGCAATAAAGGGATTAGTGTAGATGCTCCTGTACACTAAGTAACTCTTAGTTAAGAGATGGTTTAGCAACCGTTTGAGAAAAAGGTGATAAATCTCTTTTTAGTCAGCTCTCGGGTCACGGCATTTCAGCTGAGCACTTGGCCTTTTTGCGCCATGCACACTTTTACCATTTCTTATTGTATTACTGTTCTTCCTTGTTTTTTTTTTTAAATTATTATGGTGCAAAAAACAATTTTTCTTTCCTTCTTCTTTCTTTTACTGCAATATTAAATAATGATGTAACTCTGCAAGTTTTTACGTTAATTATAATAAAACTTGAGTAAAGTGGATAATTTTCCATCCATAAAAGCACTTAGACATGATATGACTCACTAGCTACTTTCCCGCGATTTCACCTGCTCTGCTCGACTCCTATTGATTGTAGTGTGATATTTTATAGCCTAGGGCCTTCCTCGATAAAAACGTCGTGATGGCCAAGAGGTTTAAGACGCCCGCTTCTCTTGCATGAGGGAGTGGGGTCCATACCTACCAACGGAAAGTACCAATGTGACTTTTTCCGATTTATATGTACTTTCTAATATTATTTAGACACCACTGACAAACGGTTAAGGAAAACATTGTGAGGAAACTTGGGCTCATAATTTCTAATTATAAGTTTTAAATCGCCAACCCGCATTGAGCAAGCGTGGTGATGTATGCTCAAACCGTGCTAGAAGAGGCTTTGCTCATCCGTGGACATTTATAGGCTGGTAATGATGATGATTAAATTCAAACCAGTAGTTACAGACATTACCATGGTTAAACAAACAAACTATTCAGTATTTTGTATATTAGTCAAGATATGGATGCAAACATAATAGATTAGGTACACATAGGCTGTATAGCTTAGGGGGCGTCATAAATAACGAGGTATTTTTTAATTTCCTGCCCCTCCCTCCCACCTTGGTGAGATTTCGTGAGATTTTATTCAACACCCTCCCCCATCGCCAAACTCACGGAGGTTTTCAAAATGTTGGTTTTTGACATAAACGCGTTGGATTGTTATTGTATAAAAAATTGCTTTGTGCTTTTATTTACGACTAGTTAAGACTAGTAATCAATATTGCTGAGAGTTATAAGTGTTTTAAAAATGTAACAATAGAATACTATACGTATTGAACAGTCGCGGAGAACCTAACGGGTAACCGGGGCTCCGGCTCGACGTGCAGGAGAAGGAACGGGGTGGTTTTTAGTCAGTAAGAGTCTGACACTCCCTTCCGCCTCACCAAGGCGGGAGCAGTCATTCGATGATTTTCCCCCCTTAAAAAAAAATACGTATTAAACAAATGCATGTATAATTAAATCTTAAGCATCTACAATCTGGATTAAATGGACTAAAATAGTATAAATTTTTTTTGTATCAATCAGAAAAAAAATTGTGTGAAATTTGCCGAGACCACCCGCTCTCACTTCAACATAAGATTAGACGAGATTAGAGTCTACCCCCTCCCCCCTTATTGAGTATTAGTATAATTAATCTGTGGTATTAGAGCTAATATAACTTAAAGAAGCCATATGTTAAACCTTTTTAGACATTTTATCTGTAAGTTGTTCTGATTAGTCTGCCTCAAAGTAGGTATTACTGGGATTAAAATAATCTTAGTAGTAGCACGGAGACTGGAATTGTGCCTGGTATATGGCAATAGGCTCACTCCCTATTACATGGGACTCATAAAATAAATAGTGAAAAGTGGGTGTTACATTGTACGGAGGCAATAAGTGCCGTAATGTGCACTTCTGCCTACCTGTAAAAGTACTATCTTATTCTTCTTATCTTACACTTATTATATAAAGCGGAAGACTTTGTTCGTTTGTTTGTTTGAACGCGCTAATCTCCGTAACTACAAGTCTGATTTGAATAATTCTTTTTGTGTTGGATAGCGCATTTATCGAGGACGGCTATAGGCTATAAAACATCACGCTACGACCAATAGGAGCTGAGCAGAGCGTGTGAAACCGCGCAGAAGTAGCTAGTTAATATTATAAATGCATAAGTTTGTTAGGATGTATAACCTGTATGGCATGATTCACGCTGAAACTACTGGATAAATGTGGATACAATTTGCTACTGAGATAGATAACAGATGAGGTGTTTATGACTGCACGATTGGTGCAGTACCTGGGTAACTGGCCGCCGTGCAACTTGTAGTGCGTTCGATTTCCGCACGGAGCGACTCTTTGTATGATCCACACATTGTTGTTCCGGGTCTGGGCGCACGCACGCACCCATGACATGATGAGAGAATCATAGGGGCAACGTTAAAAATAATGTCAGGAAAGCGGACGAAGTTACTGGTAGAATCTAGTGTGTAATATGTTTGTGTTTTGTTACAGAATAATGTTCTCGTCCCTGGTAGACATGGCGCGGAACTCGCCATTCCGCGGCCCGATGACACCCGCCCAGTGTCAATCCACAGACCTCACACCGGCCATCGAACAGGTAATCATCAAAGTCAAAACATTTATTACAATTGATCCTTTTTTTAATTGGCAACCGAGTCTCCACAATTGTTCCTTAATTAGGCATTATTGAAACGACAAAAATTGACATGTCAATTCGTCTGTCAAAGTCAAAGCATTTATTTTAATTAAAACCATAATTTGGTACTTTTGAAACGTCAACAAATAAGAAATAAGTAATAGTCTGTCAGTCTGTCCTTCAGTAAAGCTAGGTGCTCATTCTAAAATGTAGATTTTAATGGAGAAGAACGAGCAAGAAATTGCACTTTTTTTTAAAAAGTATGTTCTACAATGTCTCTGATATATACCAATACTGTACGTATATGTGAGAACAATGCAAAGACACGCTTGATTATACTAATTGTAAAACTTACTAAAATAAAAATGTAAACGGTCTGTCAGTTGAGCTCGTCATCATAAAAGATTAACCAAAAAAATCCTTGAAACACGAAACTAGGGGTATCATTACTTATTTTCGTTCGAATATCGCGATAAAATGATTGTACTTCAGTAATTATTTTGTACTTGAACTTGAACTGAAGATAAATAATAAATAGATAGTGCGGTAGTTGGAAAACAGACTGACAGCGCATGCGCTTGACTATATCCCCGACTGATACACGTGTGTTAGTGATCATTCGCTTGAGACACGTCATTAAGGATAGACGTGTTTTTTGCATATTAATTAATGTCTTTGCGTACAATGACTCACACATACTGCCTAATTAGATGATAATATTTTTAGGAATAGAAATTGCTACTACTTCAGTAAATTTAGTTAAAATATGCTTTTAGGCTAAATGTATTTAAAATTCAAATGCGCGTCCATGAATAAATTCGTCATGATTATTTTACAATAAAACAAGCAAGTATTTAGGTCCGTTAATGTTTTGTGTTTGATGTCTCGTTCTCACAAGTAATTTTATAGTTTGGCGCGTACTCGAAAAAGTCAATTCATAAAATATTTATTTATGTGGCAACATTTCATTCACTAGCAAATTCAAACTAACGCTGGCCAGTCTATGAAAAAAGAAAAGAAGGAATTATGACACTGACAGATGAATTGATACGTCAAACAGTCCTGCATCACACATGTAAAGTTTTCGCGCTAATTTTCATACACTTACCGAATGCAATGTACAATCTCGTCGTAATAGCCAATACTCTATCAATGAATTAAATATTGCGATGTTGTTGCTGATCAATTTACAAAATTAATAGACATTTGACCTCGCCCAATGATGAAAACTCATGCCAGAGGGGAGCAATCGTGTCGTATGCGTCACGTCGACGATGCGATTGTGTCGTCTTGTCGTGGTATCACGACAACGTGGCTGATGCATGTGACGTGAATGCAGGTGCCCAATGATCAATAGATTATGAGAGCTGAGGGCGTTGTAATAAGTTTGAAAATGGCTTTTATTTATTGTGGAAAATCTATGTTTTTCCTATGATATTTTTCTTCAATAACTATACGCGTTTGTATGTATAATTACTGCAGGAATTTCACTGCATGTTCGATAACTGTTGAGAGCGTAATATCACAATATTATTACTAGGTAAGTGTTGTTTTTCTTGAAAATACCACTATAGAGCGTACTTGAACTGTTTTCTATATTATTTTATTTGAGTCTAAAGTAAAACAGACTGTTCTATGAGTTATTTTTTTCCGATGTTTTTCTACCCAGGGTAGTCAAACGCTCCGGTTCGAACAGGAGTAGGAACGGGGTGGTTTTTCCCGCCTCACCCGGGCGGGAGAAGACGTTAGATGATTTCCCTACCTCAAAAAATTTGTCAAAAATGTATCGCAGTAATGCTACATAGCAACAAAGTCGTTATCAGTACAATGCAATACGTCACTTAAAGAAAACAATTCAAGTCAGTCTATCATGTAATTTAATGGAGTGTTTTCTACTTGTCAAGTCTAACAGTGGGTTTCGCCCGTCTGGGTGCTCCGTTCACGCTTTTTTTTTAACTTTGCCCCACATTGGTATTTTCTCATGTGTCGTGGGTGCATTTACAAACATACAAGATCTGTGGATTGATCGTAGAGGGTGTATTATAGCCCTGCTTTCCTCAATTAAGATATCATATCAATTAAGACTACCTCGTTGGCCGAGTGGTCGCAAGTGCGACTGCCGGGCAAGAGGTCTCGGGTTCGATTCCCGGGTCGGGCAAAGTATTACTAGGTTAAAAAAATTGTCAGTAGTCGTACGAACTCTGGAATTATGCCCGGTATATGGCAATAGGCTCACCCCCTATTACATGGAGCTCATAACATAAATAGTGAAAAGTGGGTGTTACATTGTACAGTGGCATAATGTGCACCTCTGCCTATTCCTTCGGGGATAAAAAGGCGTGGTTTTACGCTTTCTTCAATTAATCGACTATCCAACAAAAAAATAACGAATAAATTCGAATGAGCGATGTGATGAGTGGAACAGTCTTCAGTTTTATAATATTGGAGTACGCAAGTAATGTTATTAATGTCGAATTGTTACGATTTGTCCACAGCCCAGCGGTATGGCGGCCGCTGCCGTGGTCCAGGGCGACTCCTGCGAGTTCGCCTCCCCCAAATACTTCGCTCTGTGCGGTCTTGGAGGAATCCTTTCTTGCGGTAAGTTTGTGATTTCACAGTCAAAGCATTTATTTCAAATAATCCTTAATCAGGGCTCGTACACAAAACTGCGATGCGACGTCGCATCGCAAAAATGTCCGAGCTCCCTCTACGCATCGCAAGAACTTGCGAATTGATTCACATCGCGCATCAAAATCTTATCTTCCCAAAATCTTCTTTGTTTCTTTTTCCTGTATCTCCTAAGCAATAACAGAAGTACATACACACTTCTTTTTACGACCATTCGTTTTGTTTTTATAATAACTACTATCGTGAGACATACTAAATTAACTAAAAATCGCGGGATACTCACGTGAATATACTGAGAGAAGCTCTACTAGTTTCGAACCACAGAGGGGTTTTTCGTTAACCATTTGTTTTATTTCCATGTCACGACCTAGTTTTCAATATAAAATACGTTTAGTACGGTTGACGGTCGTCGAAGGAATGGTCACCCTGGGAGATGCCTCGCCGCACGAAATCGCATCACAGCAATTCGCATCGTATTTTTTTGCGTTGCGAATTCGCATCGCATCGCAGTTTTGTGTACGAGCCCTTAGGCACTTTTGAAACTTCATGAATTGAATTGTCCATTCGTCTGTCTATGAAGCTAGGCAGGCTGCATGCGGTTGCATAAAAACTCATTAAACTGTCAAACACCAAGCGGTCACCGGTGACCGCGACCTATTGTTCTTTAATTGTGTCTATAAAACCGGTACTCGACGAGTTAAATTGTAATTCTTTATTTTGTTCCCTATTTAATACCTTTACTCATCCCGATGCGATCTCCAAATCGCTTGCTAAGTATGAAGATGAGAGGAGACCAATAGTCTAGTGTATAACTCGCATTAGTCTGCATTAAGATGATGACTATTTAACAACATAACAATTGCTACACAAGAACCGTGAAAAAAATAAACAGTAAAAATTCCCTTTGCTGCATATCTGAACCGACACGACCTTGAAACCTCCACGATTGCTCATTGCGGGTTGACGATTTCAAACCTATAAATAGTCATTATAAGCCCAGGTTTCTTCACGATGTTCTCCTTCACCGTTTGTCAGTGGTGTCTGAATAATCTTAGAAAGTGCATATAACTCGGAAAAAGTCATATTGGTACTTGACTTGCCGTTGGTAAGTTTCGACCCCGCACCCTCATGCATGAGAAGCGGGCATCTTAAACCTCCAGGCCACCACGACATTTATGAAACAATGTTTTTGCCCAAATATTAATTTCAACAGTGGCGCCACAGAAAAGTATGTCACTAGACAAAAGAGGTTGCATTTAAAATTCTATGTTTAAAAATGTACATTTATTTTTTGTTTTGTATCTTTAAATAGAGAACAGCTGTCAAGGTGGATGTATGTGGCGATTAGCCAAGGGTCATTGTAGTATCAATGTCGCGTACAGATAGACATACATACATTGTATTGTATATACGTAAGGTAATACCTACGTCAGTATCGGTGGAAAACACGAATGGCCGTTTCCATCAACTACCCCTAAACCATATCTTAACTAAGAGTTACTTAACCACTTATAGGTTGGTGATTAAACCAAAATGTCGGTTAATATCACCTATCTTAACTTAGGGGTTCCTTACAAATTAAAAGAGGCACAGGCTAGAATAAACTTAACTGTACACTACTGTACAGCATAGTGAATTTTTATATAAAAATTACTAGAAGTACATATAGGGAAACAATGAAATTAAAAAAGTTGCGAACAATAATCTTTTACCAGTGTGATTTAATTTAATATTACACTTATGCACATAAAATTCATCTTAGGTAAACAATATCTTAGCAGTAGTAAATAATATTTATTATCTATGTATTTTATCTATGCCCAACCCACAGATAATGTGATAACAGCTGATTATTTATAATCTGTGCTTAAGATTCGCGCCAAAATGTAAACTTAAACAGATTATAAAATGAAATTAGTGATTTTATGGCTTTGTAAGTTTTGAAATGCGTGCAAGAAGAATCCGATTTTTATTATTTCTTGACGCCCAAACAAAATTAGGGTCGGCATTGAATTCTTAGGTTCTGACTACCAGTGTTTTACATGGAGCATAGATTTACATTTCTAACTTTATTTCTAAACCATAAGGTTGTAAATCTATTGACAAACATGAACATAACAAGAACGGTGTAACTTGGTATGCTGCATATACTATTGTTTCATCGTCATCACATCAACAGCCACTGCTGACCAAAGGCCTCTTCTCACATGCAGAAGGTTAAATATTTATTTACCCAAACCATTATCATAATAAATAGTATTTTAAAACAAATGTAGAAGATACAACAGTCAAACTATTTATGTATAGTTTTGTTGGACATGGCTTTAGATTGTATGGCATATCATGTATTATCCTCTCGCGCGCCTCTCGTACACACGGTTAAACGGCGCCACTCGTACACACGGGTAAATATTTTAATAGAAACGCGAATTAACTATTCTGTTCAATCAATTAAAGAACGGGTTGCAAACTTGAAAATATACGTCACAGAAAAAATATCCAATCGGTGCGCGTTTCTCGTACACCCGTGTGTACGAGAAACGCGCGAGAGGTTATTAAATAAATAAATAATAATAAATAGTAAGCATTAATCACAACGCTATGTCAATGCGTAATTAGAGATGATAATAGTCCAGGGTGCTTACTCTTGAAACCAATCTCAAATTTAATGCAATTTCAATCCAATAAAATCTCAATAATTATTCAATGTCAAAACTATACAACCCCTATCGTAGCTGTTAAAATAGCATTCAGAGTACGGAATATAAAGCCAAACTCAATACCATTTAGTTCATTCAATATCCACACAATACGGATGTAATGGGCGGTAGTATAGTACAAATCGAGAGTACGAAATTTCACAATACCAATGTCGATCGATCGGAATTGGATTCAAGAGTAAGCACCCAGGTTTCCTCACGATGTTTTCCTTAACCGTAGAGACATCGGTTAGCACTTCATAATGTGTGAATGACGTAATACTTATCACTACTTAGTTTACTTATGATATCTCTGTGTCACTGTGTCGACAAACGACTAGACTCAATACTCTAAGTTCCGGAGTCGCGGAGTACCTAACGGGTTACCGGGGCCCTGGCTCGACGTGCTGGAGAAGGAACGGGGTGGTTTTTAGTCAGTAAGAGTCTGACACTCCCTCCCGCCTCGCCCAGGCGGGAGCAGTCATTCGATGATTTTCAACATTAAAAAAAAAGAAATTCTAAGTTCAAAATCTCTACACGGAAGAAAACCAGTTAATTTGCACCGTAACTTAAATGAATTACAAAAAAAACAAAAATCTTCATCACGGCGCAAAAAATCGACGCTCAACTAAATGCCGTGGCCTGGGCACCATCGTTTGAATAAAAATAAGCCTTATTTTGAGAAATCTATCGTTTTTTTCTTCTCTTATAATATCATCTGATTCACTTCGTTGAGGGAACCAAGAAGTTATTCATGTCCCTGAGACAAGCATGGTTGTATCTACTGTAGATCCTGGCTTACAGGAATTGCAGCGGTTTTGAGAGGCTGTGGCGGGCTTGTTCCATTTAAAATTTACTAAACATCACCTCATTCCTGTACCTGTTTCGAACCTAGGGCTTTAAATTATCCGTTAATTTTGCTATCCGGATAATACGGATATCAAAGTTTTATTATCCGGATTAGATAATACAGATATTTCCTGTGACAGTCCAATGGGTATACGGTATACGATACCCGCGGGAAGAATGAGGGGCTGGTGACAAACTACACGGTTGTACACACAAGACTGCACGGTTGGCGCGGTGGTTGGGCAACTGGCTGCCGCGCTACGTGGCGCGGATTCGATTCCCACACGGAACAACTGTGTGATCCACAGATTGTAGTTCCGGGTCTGGGTGTCATGTGTATGCGAACTTGTATGTTTGTAAACGCACCCACGACACAGGAGAAAATCCTAGGGTGGGGCAACTTTTTTTTAAATAAAAAAAATCTCTGCTATTAAACTTACTATAACTAATAACTACAAACCTAAATATTACTTTAACCCGGAGATCACGCTATCGAGACGGTTAAAGGTCATAATAAACACGTGGGATGTACAACTTATCATTCAGAATGCAAGCAGACGTTGGTTACTTGGTTCCAATATTTCGTCCAACATTTGGCCAAAGTCTCGTGATCGGATTGTACTAGGATTGCGTTGGCATTGGCCCAAAATTGTTGGGTGACGTCACACTTTATTGGAACGCACGGAAATGTTGCTATATTGTGTATAGAAGATAATATATACACGTTGTGCAGTGGCCAACAGATCAACATTCCCCAATCCGTCTTTTTCATTGGATTTTCGACCTTATGTCAATGTAATAAAGTTGAAAATCATAATATAACATCACGCCTTTTATCCCCGTAGAGGCAGAGGTGTACATTATGCCACTGTACAATGTAACACCCACTTTTCACTATTTATTTTATGAGCCATCTAATAGGGGGTGAGCCTATTGTCATATACCGGGCACAATTCCAGACTCCGTGCTATTACTGAGAATTAAAAAAAAAACCCAGTAATACTTTCTTTGCCCGACCCGGGAATCGAACCCGAGACCCATGGATATACATATTGGCTGTTTCATTAGGGGTTGCGGTATCATTAACTGAACCGATCTTGATGCAGTATCCAGGAAAGTGTTTGTTCCTCTTAGGAGCAGATTTAAGTTTATTAATCGACTACTAAACCGATTACTAAGTCGATTTTTTAGTGACAATAATTTTAACAAGGTCCAGTCTATTCTAACTCATCACAATCCGTACTTCTACACAATATAACAAAAAACTTTAACAATATATAATTAAAGTGTACAGAAGCTAGTTACACATAGTAACTAGCTTCTGCCCGCGACTTCGTACGCGTAATCCCATTTTTTCCCGTCCCCGTTCGTGATTTTCGGTAAAAAGTAAAAAAAAAATGTTGGTTAAAAAGTATCCCATGTCGGTCTCCTGGCTCTAAGCTACCTCCCTACCAATTTTCAGCCAAATCTATTCTACCGTTCTTGAGTTGTAAGTGGTGTAACTAACACGACTTTCTTTTGTGTATATATAGAGGTATATATAGATTAATCAAGTACTGCATTTAATTAAGACGTGTCTATAAATTATTATTATCAATTTACTTGTAATTACTGCTTATCATACGTATAAAATTATGATAAGTATTGATTTTGTAACATAAGTACAGTTAGCGACAGATATCCTGTTTAAATTAAAATACAAAAATTATGATGTAATAATATACGATACATAATATTACGGCATACATTTAAACCCAATTACCCCCTCCCCAATCTCCCCATGAATCCCCAACAATTGTCTAATTTCCTAGGTTTAAAATAAATTGTTTCAACTTTTCAATGCAATAAATAATAATTAAAAAATTATCATAGAGAGTATGATATCCATTGATTTGACAATTTACCTACTTTTGTATTTTTTCTCGCTAATTTTAAGGAAATAAGTATGCTGTTTGACGCAGAAATATGATGACGTCAAAAATCAAAAGTTGCGATCCAATACAAAATTCATAGAAAAGTATCGTTTTTGACATTTCAATAAAAGTATTGAATTTGAATACCTGTCGGCTACCGTATTCTAAAATTCCTAGTCCACAAAAGGCCGGTAACGCACTTGTAACGCCTCTGGTGTTCAAGGTGTCCATAGGCGGCGCGGATAGCTTGACCGGCTTATCCCACCAAAATCTCCATAAGATGACATAATATGATTAAAAGCGTGTTTTTCTTAACACAAAATTATCACTTTTAAGTAAAATTGTATATGTTTTTAGTCAGTAAGAGTCTGACACTCCCTCCCGTCTCACTCAGGCGGGAGAAGCCATCCGATGATTTTCCCCCCTTAAAAAAAAGCAAAAGGCATCAGAAAATCAATAATTTTTGCTCATCACTACCGTGAGGTAGGTTGCCCAAAAGACTGGCAGCATTGCCACATTGAATGGCAATGCTTAACCTTTTCCGCAACAGCCGTTCGAACGCCTGAAGTGTCAACCATCCTCCTTACAAATATCTTTAGTAAAATTAGTTCTTTCATTATATGTAAGTAATGTAATATTATGATTAGATTTTGTTCCTACCAGTACAGTAAGTAATACTGACACATTTTATGATTACGTAATTGCAGATCGTGATTAGGGTTTGTTATCGAAATGAGCGATTGCCGTCATGTGCTCGACTTACTTGATAACCTAAAGATTAAGGAAAGTCAAAGAAAGAAAAAAGTATGAAAGTAGTTTTTTTAAGTTTAGTTTAAGTAGTTTAAGTATGACTGGGTTTTTAAGTATTACTGGGTTTTTAAAAATCTCAGTAGTAGCACGGAGTCTGGAAAAATGTGCCCGGTATATGGCAATAGGCTCACCCCCTATTACATGTATTACATGGGACTCATAACATAAATAGTGAAAAGTGGGTGTTACATTGTACAGTGGCATTAAGTGCCGAAATGTGCACCTCTGCCTACCCCTTCGGGGATAAAAAGGCGTGATGTTATGTTGTTATGTTAGTTTTTTTTATTCAAGAGTAACGAATGGAGTTTCTTGCTCGTTCTTCTCCATTCGAATCTACATTTTGGAATGAGCACCAAGCTTCACCTAGCTTCAATGACGGACTGACTGACAGACTATTATTTATTTTGTATTTGTTGACGTTTCAAAAGTACCAAATTATGGTTTAATTGAAATAAATGCTTTTTGACTTTGAATATGAAATAAAAATGTTTAGTTAGCCTCAATGAACCAACACGGAGTCGCGGACGACTTACTGGTTACCAGGGCCGCGGCTCGAAGCAGAAGTGTAGTAAGAACAGGGTGGGGTTTAGTCAGTAAGAGTCTGACACTCTGGCCTCGCCTGGGCGGCAGAAATCATTGGATGATTTTCCTCCTAAAAAAGTTTCAACAAACCAGCTAATTACTTCGTTGCGGCAACCAAGACAGTTACTCATGTCCCTGGGACGCGCCGGACTTCAGTGTTCCGGTGTTTTCATGGTTGTATCTACTGTAGGCTTACAGGGGTTGCAGCGGTTTTGGGAGGTTGTGGCGGGCTTGTCCAAAATATTGAAACCAGCTAATAAATATTTTTTTTTGTTCCAGGTATCACCCACACAGCCGTAGTGCCCCTGGATCTGGTGAAGTGCCGTCTCCAGGTAGACCCTGACAAGTACAAGAATGTGGTCAACGGATTCAAGGTCTCCGTGGCTGAGGAGGGCATCAGAGGTCTCGCCAAGGGATGGGCGCCCACCTTCATCGGATACTCGCTCCAGGTGAGAATTAGACCACATTTTTGGTAGCCCTAGCTTGGCCAAAGAGTGTAAAAAAAAATTATTCTTGTCTTATAATATCTTCTGATTCATTTCTTTTGCGGGATGCAAGACAGTTATTCATGTCCCTGGGACGCGCCGGACTTCAGTGTTCCGGTGTTTGCATGGTTGTATCTACTGTAGATCCTGGGGCATTGAAGTTGCACCAGTCTTGGGGGGTTGAAGTGGCGTTGTCCCCAAAATACAGCTGTGATTACTGCGCATAGCAAGCTAAATGTAGTTTTCGTAAATATTGTAGCTTGTAGAATTCGAAATTTTTAGTGAATAAAAAAGCTAGTATTTTTATTTATAAGTATATTATTCTATACACAATGATTAAACGAAATTATCCAATTGTTCCTACTGAAAAAAACTGAAGACGAAACGTTTATGAGCGAAAATTATACCTATCTCTTTCTAACACATAAGTACCTACATAATTACACTTACAAAATTTTCTATCTCTTTCTTTCCCAGGGTCTTTGCAAATTCGGTCTGTATGAGGTCTTCAAAGTCACTTACAGTGGTCTTCTGGATGAGGAGACGGCTTACACTTACCGTACCGGAGTATACCTCGCCGCTTCAGCATCAGCTGAGTTCTTCGCTGACATTGCTCTGTCGCCCCTAGAAGCTGCCAAGGTAATTTATACATTATTTTGGTAAGATCCGGGTGGATTTCATGTGTGGGAGAGCCATGGTTCATCACGAATGGGCCGGCTCGACCGGAGTGATACCACGGCCGAGTAGACGGACGTGAAACAACGCTTGCGTTGTGTTTGGTCGTGTGAGTGAGGTTACCAGAGGCCCAATTACCTCCACCCCTTCTCCAATCTCCCCAATCCCTGAATCCCAACAATCCTCAAATTCCTAATCCCAAAAGGCCGGTAACGCACTTGTAACGCCTCTGGTGTTCTAGGTGTCCATGAGCGACGCCGATTGCTTACCATCAAGTGATCCGCATGCTCGTTTACCGGTATATCCCATAAAAATCCTCACACCTCTCTTTAGAAATACATTTTCAATTTAAAAAATATAAATATGCCCGATGACGAAAAAACGCGCTCGAGGGAGACCGTCGCGTGACCGTGTCGGCGTCGTGTCGATATCGGCGCCCTGTGGACGCAGCGTGGCCGGTCGCGCGACGGAGTTGCCCGGTGACCATGAGATTATGAGATCTGAGGGCACAAACACGCTTCTATTACAACTAAATCTAACAATCTAAATTACACACACTTCTTATTGATGTACCATCATGAAACTTGGCAATAGGGATGATGACATGGTATGAAAATTAAAAATCTAATTAGTCCATCAATTAGGTAATGAAAAAATATTAGACACGTATTTTTTTATTTTGTCGTATAATAAAATGATACTTAGATATAACAAATCAAAGTTTAAGAATGGGGTCTAAAACGTCATTTCTACGTATAAAATGTATATAGAAGTGACGTCACGCGACATTTCAAATTAATATATCGTCGAAAGTATTCGTTTCTGTAAAAAAAAATACGTCTGTAATATTTTAAAATAATCTACCAGACGGACATTAAAATAAAAATTAGTCATCTACCCTATTGTGTTTAGATATATACAATATTATGGTACCATCGAGCTGGTCTAATGGAACATTGAACTGTTTACTAGTAAAATTATCAAGTTTGGTCTCATTAGATATGAACAGAGTAAAATAACAGATCAAAAAGCGTGTTTTTAGTATTCTTTGAACTATAAAAATCTTTAAAAAGTAAAGAAAATCGATATATTTTTTAAAGTGGTTGTAAAATTAAACTTCGCAGGTGAGGATCCAGACGATGCCTGGCTTCGCCACCACCCTCCGTGAGGCCTGGCCTAAGATGGTCCAGAATGAAGGTTATGGAACATTCTACAAGGGCCTGGCGCCACTATGGGGTAGACAGATCCCGTACACCATGATGAAGTTCGCCTGCTTCGAGAAGACCCTGGAACTGCTTTACAAGGTAGGACTGTTTGTTAAGATGTGATTTTAACTGCAAGGGGTCGTAGGTTTGACTATTTTTAATAATTAGTGGGTAAACATGGATGTTTTCCGAAAATGTTTTAGTAATGGAATGGAGGAATTGGGTAGATACTTGCACACTAGTCAAATTATAATACTGTTTCCGAACTATCATAAATGATAATTTTCCATTAATTTTGTACGAGATTGTATTGTGACGTCACGTTTTATTAGCGACAAACAGTATAAAATACTAAAATTAAGTTGGTTATAAAATCAATTAATGAAAGTGTGATTATTTTTTAATACTTTATTACAATCAAATAATATCATTGGAAAGTACCCAATTGTGTCTGTTGTGTGGTAAAGGCTCAGCCCCTATTGAAGCCTTCGAACCGGTGGTCTCGGGTTCGATTACCGGACGACGAAGACATATTTTTATGTGGCTTTTTTAAAATGGATAGTGATTGAAGAAGGTTTAATATGTATGTTTGTTACTCAATTACTTCGAAACTGCTAAAGGAATTAAGATGAAATTGGTAACAAGGGTAGATTATGGTCTGATTTTTAATAACCTCTCGCGTGTTTCTCGTTCACACGGGTGTACGAGAGAGTTGAGTGCCCATCGCGCAATTGTACACACGGGTGTACGAGAGAGTTGAGTGCCCATCGCGCAATTGTACACACGGGTGTACGAGAGAGTTGAGTGCCCATCGCGCAATTGTACACACGGGTGTACGAGAGAGTTGAGTGCCCATCGCGCAATTGTACACACGGGTGTACGAGAAACGCGCACCGATTGGATATTTTTTCTGTGACGTATATTTTCAAGTTTGCAACCCGTTCTTTATTTGATTGACCAGAATAGTTCATTCGCTTTTCTATTAAAATATTTACCCGTGTGTACGAGAGGCGCGCGGGAGGATAATTATGTGATTCGACCTACTCACGTAATTATTTGACGAGGAACTCGACTAGTTTCAAGCCATGCTGGAGGCTCATATTCATGAGCAGCATTCCTAAGGCTATTTCAGTACGTTTCCCACGGGAACGCGGGCAAAACCGCGGGCAGAAGATTCTATAGTATAAATAATAATTACTATGGACCATGGACAAGACTTCATTTTTCTAATAGCTTATAGCTTTGAACCCTGGTATTTTTAATTTATATGTACCTATATTTCTAATATTTCTATTATACCTACCTTGGTTTATCCTTGCTTTATGTTATACTAGCTTTTACCCGCGGCTTCGCTCGCGTCACAAAAGGATAAAAAGTAGCCTATGTGACATATACCAATACACACAGCGCCATCTATACCAATACTTTCGTTTTCCCCCGAGAATATCAATTTTTCCGGGATAATAAGTACTCTATGATTTAATCCGGACTTCTAACTTTACGTCTGCAAAATTTCAAAGCAATCGGTTAAGTAGTTATGGCGTGAAAGTGGAACAGACAAACAAACAAACAAACTCACTTTCCGATTTATAATATTAGTAAGGATATTTCTATTATACCTACCTTGGTTTACCCTCGCTTTATATAATATTTTATTTTTTAGTTATGTTATGTGTGTTCTGCCCAAGAATAAATGGTTTTTCTTTCTTTCTTCTATGTGTACTTATGAATATTTTTGTCCTCAGTACGTTGTCCCCAAGCCTCGTGAACAGTGCACGAAGGGCGAGCAGTTGGTAGTCACCTTCGCCGCTGGATACATCGCTGGTGTCTTCTGCGCCATCGTCTCACACCCTGCTGACACCGTCGTATCTAAGCTGAACCAGGTAAACATTGTTATTATTATCAATTTTAAGTTTGACTAGGCCACAGACCCCATGTCGCGGAGAACCTAACGGGTAACCGGGGCTCCGGCTCGACGTGCAGGAGAAGGAACGGGGTGGTTTTTAGTCAGTAAGAGTCTGACACTCCCTCCCGCCTCACCCAGGCGGGAGCAGTCATTCGATGATTTTCCCCCCTTAAAAAAAAAGGCCACAGACCACCATAGTGGTTGCCGGGGCCATTAAACTGGGCTGGTTAGCCATCAGACTATTATAGATGGGGCCCAATATGGCTGGTGCCGATACGGAGCCGCGAAGGACTTAACGGGTTGCCGGGGCTCCGGCTCGAAGTGCAGGAGTAGGAACGGGGTGGTTTTAGTTAGTAAGAGTCTGACACGCATCACCCAGGCGGGAGAAGACAATTGATGATTTTCCCCCTTATATTCTATATAGAATATGAATCAGAGTAGTGTAAAACAGGCTTTTTTTTAAAAAGAATAACGAATGGAGTTTCTTGCTCGTTCTTATCCACTCGAATCGACATTTTGGTACGAGCGCCTAGCTTCACTGACGGACAGACTGACAGACTATTATTTATTTCATATTTGTTATCGTTTCAAAAGTACCAAATTATAGTTTAATTGAAATAAAAAAAGGCTTTTGAGTTTGAGTTTAGTTACAAAAAAAGACTATAGAAATGAAAAGGAGTGTTTTACACACAATTTATTTATTTATCGTTATTTTAATTTAATTTTCCAGGACAAGACTGCAACAGTGGGTGGTATCATGGGCAAGCTCGGCTGGGCCGGAGTATGGAAGGGTCTCGGACCTAGGATCATCATGATCGGTACCCTCACTGCGCTGCAATGGTTCATCTATGACGCTGTCAAGGTAAATTTATTAATTAAATAATGTATCTTATGTAATTTATATTATACCTATATATACAGATATATGTATGTATTTACAGTTATCATAAATTTATTTATATAGATTTTTCTGTGTCACATAAATTAACTCGTCGAGTACCGGTTTTATAGACACAATTAAAGAACAATAGGTCGCGGTCGCGCTTGGTGTTTGACAGTTTAAACCATTAATACCAATTACACCTACTGTTGCACATCTCTGCATCACCCCGTGGTTGACTGTTAGAGAATGCCACCCGGCATTAAGTTCGCCATCGTATGTTTATTATACAGAAGAATTAACAAATAAATAAATTTAGGTTTTACCCTCGTTTTCATTAACACGACATAAAGGTCATCTTCTTTCAAAATTGTTAGCACATTGTGTATTTTTAAAAGTATTTGTTTGGAATGATCAGGGTGCTTACTCTTGAATCCAATTCCGATCGATCGACATTGGTATTGTGAAATTTCGTACTCTTGAGTCGTAACACTAGCGCCCATTGCATCCGCATTGCGTGGATATTGAATGAACTAACAGGGGGACTTGTAACTCGACGTATTCAACACGGAAGGTGATAATAAAATTACTACTGCAAGTCACCATGTCAAAAAAAAATTACCTGTCGCCATTTTTCGAGCATTCCGTTTACACCATTACATGCTTACATCCCGTATTATGCGTTAGAATCTTGGACTAAATATTATTAAAATATTCAATATTATTTTACACAAATAACAATAAATAATATTCAATGATTAAACAAATAACCAATTGTTCCTACCGAAATAAAAATGTGGACAGCGAAATTCATGAGAAATCGTCCCCGAATAAAAATCGGCTTTAAACCTTTAGACATAGGTTTCATAATCGTTTTTTTTACAGGTATGGCTCCGTATGCCACGCCCACCACCGGCGGAGATGCCCGAATCCATGCGCAAACGACTTGAGGCCGAAGAAGCGGGGAAATCCAAGTGAATCAACTAGTTTATAAGTAGTACATTTACATTGCGCGCCTTACTCACAAATAGACAGCTATTTTAGACCTTAATGAATGGAAATAAATTACAATTTTCTTTAGTGAGCCTTTATCACTAATAGACAAGCTATTTTAGACCTTATATACATGAGAATTGATAACAATTTGCCTTGGTGAACAGCTGGGAATGGTTTTTGGAAAGAATTCGTTATGAACATCGTATGTAATGTATGATATTTCGGTGTCGTAGCGGATTGATGAAATAAATATGGCTGTTTTTATCAACAACTCCTAAACCGTATCTTAACAAAAAAGATACTTAGCGTCACGTAGCATCTAATCTAACCCCTTACTGATACAGTTAGGTGATACTTATAGATTTGTAAACATAAAAATATCGATAAATTTCACTTAGCATAGGGGTTAATTCAGGAGAGGTTGGTGAATAATATGGAATGGTGAATATACCTCGGGTATGTGACACCCAAGTGAAGTGTAACGCAATTAAATTTCAAAGCTGTCTTTTAAATGATATTATTCGATATTATGATGGTCTTTGGCGCGCGATGATAGTTCCAAGATACACCGCCACAGCAGTATGTTGTTTTTTAATTAAAAAAAAAACGTAGTGACATAATGTTAACCAACTTACATACAGTATAATATATAAGTAAAATGATCATGTTAAATTATTTTTTTTTTGGAAAATAAAATATTTTTATTTTAAACCTTAAGTTTTTTGTTTTATTGAGACCAGTATGAACCAGTGTGGGGGCGTCCATAAATTACGTGAGATGTTTAAGGGGGGAGGGGGTAGACTCAAATCTCATCTAATCTTACGTTGGAGAGAGGGGGGGTATAAGAATAATAAGAATAAGAATTTTATTTGCTCAAACGTGTGTGCACACAGAATTAAAATAATACAGCATGCAAGATCTTAGACAAAAGTGGCTTACGACATGTCTGCCATTTATCATGGCGTGCTAATATCTATTATATAAAATTTTTATGATGACTGTGAATTATTTCATTAAATTTGAAATTTACACTTACAGGTACACTAGCTTTTACCGCGGCTTCGCTCCCGTCACAAAAGGATAAAAAGTAGCCTATTTATATATACCAATACATACAGCGCCATCTATACCAATACTTTTGTTTTCCCTCGAGAATATCAAATTTTTCCGGGATAAAAAGTACCCTATTATTTAATCCGGACTTCTAACTTTACTTCTGCAAAAATTCAATGCAATCGGTTTAGTAGTTACGGCGTGAAGTCGGAACAAACAAATAAGCTCACTTTCCGATATAGAATATTATAGTAAGTATTAAATATCTGCAGTATCATTGAACATTATTAATTAATTTGTTCATATTCAATTAAGTTAATATTTAGTAAAAATGATTTCTCTAAAATGATGTCTCGGCAAATATGACGTAATTTTTTTTCTGATAGAACAAAAAAATAATTATACTATTTTTACCGACTTCATAGTTCATTTATCCCAGATTGTACATGCTAAGATTTAATTATACAATGCACATGGATTTATTTTCTTTTTGCAATAACAATTCAACGCGTTTACGTGAAAAACCAACATTTTGAAAAATCTCACGTGAGATCGGGGGATGGGGGAGTGTTGAATAAAATCTCACAAAATCTTACCAAGGGGGGAGGGAGTGTCAGACTCTTACTGACTATATACCACCCCGTTCCTTCTCCTGCACGTCGAGCCGGAGCCCCGGTTACCCGTTAGGTTCTCCGCGATTTTGAATCTGCATCGGCCTTGTTGGGCCCCATCTGTGGTGGTCTGATGGCTCTTTGAGGCGCGGAACACGACGCAGTCATTCGATGATATTCAACCCTTAAAAAAAAGCTTCACCTAGCTTCACTGACGGACTGACTGACAGACTATTATTTATTTTGTATTTGTTAACGTTTCAAAAGTACCAAATTATGGTTCAATTGAAATTAATGCTTTGACTTTGTAGTTCGGCAACTGGCTGCCGCGCAGTGTCGCCGGTTCGATTCCCGCACGGAACAACTGCTTGTGTGATCCACAGATTGTTGTTTCGGGTCTGGGTGTCATGTGTATGTGAACTTGTATGTTTGTCAACGCACCCACGACACAGGAGAAAATTCTAGTGTTGGACAACGTTTTTTTTTTTTAAATAAAAGAAAGAAATGTGGAAAGGTTAATTTTTATGTTTTCGGCTTACTCACGTAATAATTTGACGAGGAACTCGACTAGTTTCAAGCCATGCTAGAGGCTCATATTCATGAGCAGCATTTCGCGACCCGCGACGCGGCGACTGTCGCGCTACTACGGCATTCGCCGCGTCGCGGGTTTAGAAATGCTGCTCATGAATATGAGCCTCTAGCATGGCTTGAAACTAGTCGAGTTCCTCGTCATATAATTACGTGAGTAAGCTAAAAACATTATAATTTATTTAGTATGTCTCACAAAAGTTACAATAGAAAAAGTATGGAAAGGTTATAATCACGATAGATTATACGATAGACCACGATAACTTGGGTCCTTATAAAGCTTACCTTTTTGGGATTTTACATACCAGGCTATGCAAAACTGCCTCGTTGGCCGAGTGGTCGCAAGTGCGACTCGGCAAGGAGTCTCGGGTTCGATTCCCGGGTCGGGCAACGTACTACTGGTTTTTTTTTAAAATTCTCAGTAGTAGCACGGAGTCTGAAATCGTGCCGGTATATGGCAATAGGCTCACCTCCTATTACATGGGACTCTTAACATAAAGAGAGAAAAGTGGTTAGATTGTACAGTGGCATAATGTGCACCTCTGCCTACCCCTCCGGGGATAAAAGGCGTGATATTATGAGAGATCATGTAGTCCATAAAATCAGAAGATTTGTATCGACTGACTTCTTGCTCCTGAAACCATGCTGATCGTCACAGAGATACCTACTTGTTAACTTGTTCGGAAACAATATTATGAAGGACTAGCTTCTGCCAGCGGCTTCGCCCGCGATCCCAGGGATAAAATGCCTATGTATCACTTCAGACCATAATCTACCTCTGTTCCGAATTTCATTCCGGTCCCTTCAGTCGTTTTAATATGACTGAGTAACAAATATACACATAAACTCACATATTTTCATTTATAATATCGAGTCAAGCGAATTTCAACCATTGGCGTTTCGGTTACAGCGTAAAGTCTATCAATGAGTATTGTAAACGTTAGAGTAGACAAATACAATCAGAAATCACCGAATTGCTAAGCTATCGGGAATTTCACGTGTTATTGTGAGTCAACCATAAAAGATAGACATATGCTGTCGAGGAATATTTTTTACATAATTTTAAGGAGAATATTTTCGTCATACATGATTTCTATGTAGCTTTAACCTATAAGCCTGCACACGCGACGGAAGCTTAAAAATGGAGTAACTTCTCCCGTTTTCGCAATATTTGCCTTCACTGTTTTGCTCCTATTAATTGTAGCGTAATGAAAAGTATACTATAACCTGCCCAAGAGTATGAAGAATAATTGTGCCAAATTTCGTTAAAATCCGTCGAGTAGTTTTTGTTTCCATAACGAACATACAGACAGACAGACAGACAGACAAAAATTTTACTGATTGCATTTTTGGCATCAGTGGCGATCCCTAACCACCCCTTGATAGTTATTTTTTAAATATATTTTATGTACAGAATTGACCTCTCTACAGATTTATTATAAGTATAGAAGATTAACTAAAAATAGCTTGTTACTCACGTGAATGTACTGTGAAAAGCTCTACTAGTTTCGAACCACAGAGGGGTTCTTCCTCATGAGCAGCGTGCGCAGTCGCGGCGAGGTCGGCCAGCCTACTCTTTATTATAAAAACACTAGCTTTTACCCGCGGCTTCGCTCGCATCACAAAAGGTTAAAAAGTAGCCTATGTGACATATAACAATACACACAGCGCCATCTATACCAAAATTTTTGTTTTCCTTCGGGAATAACACATTTTCCCGGGATAAAAAATACCCTATTATTTAATCCGGACTTCTAACTTTACGTCTGTAAAAATTCAAAGCAATCGATTTAGTAGTTACGGCGTGAAAGCGGAACAAACAAACAAACTCACTTTCCGATTTATAATATTAGTAAGGAAGTAAGGATTATGAAGGATGTTCTCGAAGACCTTTGCTGGGGTAGACAGGATTGCGATAGGGCGATATTCTACAACAAAACCCTTGTTTTGGATTTTAGGAATATGTGTAACCCTGGAAACTTTCCATTTAGTAAGATAAATACCAGTTTGTAAGGCTAAATTAAAAATATGGCGCAGAGGATCAATGAAAATATTTCTTAGGTCTTTAATTATGAGGGCTCGTACACAAAACTGCGATGCGATGCGTTTTAAAGCGTGGGAGAGCCATGCTTCGGCACGAATGGGCCGGCTCGACCGGAGTGATACCACGGCCGAGCAGAAAACCGACGTGAAACAACGCTTGCTTTGTGTTTCGTCGTGTGAGTGAGGTTACCGGAGGCCCAATTACCCCCATTCCTAGTCTCCCGAAACTCCGAATCCTCCACATTCCCCAATTTCCAAAACGCACTTGTAACGCCTTGATGTTTCGGGTGTCCATGGGCGGCGCCGATTGCTTACCATCAGGCGATCCCTCTGCTCGTTTAACGGCTTATGCAATAATAAAAAAATGCGAATTCGCAACGCAAAAAATTACGATGCGAATTGCTGCGATGCGATTTCGTGCGACAAGGCGTCTCCCAGGGTGACCATTCCTTCGACGACCGTCACCCGTACTAAACGTATTTTAAATTGAAAACTAGGTCGTGGCATGGATCGTAAAAAGAAGTGTGCACTTCTGTTATTGCTTAGGAGATACAGGAAAACGAAACAAAGAAGATTTTGGGAAGATAAGATTCGCAAGTTCTTGCGATATGTAGAGGGAGCTCGCACATCGTCGCATCGCAGTTTTGTGTGTGGACCAACTGAACTACGGACTTATTCCTTTAACCC